GTTCTAAAGTGGTGTCACCCAAAGCTCTATATTCAGTCTTAGTACTAGAGCAAGATGGAATAGCTTGTTTCTTACTACGCCATGAGATAAGAGAGTTACCAAGAAAGAGAAAATAGCCAATGGTTGATCTTTGATCTGTAAGATCACCAGCCCAGTCAACATCTGAATATGCACGAAGTACAAGAGAAGAATGAGTTGAGAAGTGAAGTCCATGAAATAGTGTTCCTTTAACATAGTGAATAATATGAAGTATAGTAGAATAATGAGTGGAGCAAGGAGCAGTCATAAACTGACTAACAACATGAATTGCACATGCTATGTGTGGGCATGTTGTAGTAAGATAAACCAAACTCCCCATTAGCTATCAATAATGAGTAGGGTCAGGAAGTGGAGAGCCATCTAGATGTGAGCTTGACGTTCAATTCAAGAGGTTTGGAGACAATCTTGTTATTAGTGAGACCAGCTTTAGATATGATATCTAATGCATATTTCACCTGAGAGAGAAGATAGCCATCATCTGAGGATGTAATTTCAAGTCCTAAAAAATAGCTCAAAAAGCCAAGTTCTTTCATCTCAAATCTATGGTTGAGAAACTGCTTAAGCTCATCAATCCCTGAAACATCATCTCTAGTGATAATCATATCATCAACATATATGAGTAAGAGAACCATTCCTTGTGTAGATTTATGGACAAATAAAGCAGTATCATGTGGATTAGATGTGAAACCAAACTCACTTACAATAGAAGTGAATTTTGCAAGCCAAGCTTGAGGAGACTATTTTAAACCATATAAGGCTTGTCGCAATCAATATAACTTATTCAAAGGATGAGTAACTCCAGGAGTTGGTTTATAATAAACCTCTTATTCCAAATCACCATTAAGGAAGGCATTCTTCACATCCATATGAAACAACATCTATTTACATACAATAGCAATAGCTAGTAAATTACGTACTGTGGTAAGACGAGCAATAAGAGCAAAGGTTTTCTCATAGTCAACACCATATTCCTATATAAAACCCTTTGCCACCAGACGTGCCTCATAACGCTCTATAGATCCATCAAAATGAGTTTTGATCTTGTATATCCACTTGCATCCAACAAGAGTCTTATCAGTAGGAAGATCAACCAAGTCCCAAGTACTTGTCTTTTCCAAAGCTTGTAATTCCTTTTTCATAACTTGCTGCCATAGAGAATCTAAAGAAGCTTCCTTGTAGGACTGAAGTTCAGGTAAAGAGTAAGTGTAGAAAAACAATGGTAATCTTGAAGATATGTAGGTGGATTTCTTATTCAAGTAGGATGATAGGAAGAGGAAGTAACTAGTGGATTTTCAATCTCATTTGTTCTAAGTGCAATATCCACAAAAGAGACATCTTTTGAAATAGGAACTGTGGTAGTTTGATCATTTGAAAGCTCATCAGGAGACCTTGCATCATCATTAGGAAATAACTCAAGGGATGGATTAGTGAAGATAGGATTTTGATGAGAAGAAGACACCTTGAATTTAGAAGTAGAAGCAAACATAGTGTGTTCCTTAAAAAACAACATGCTGAGAGACACGAAGTTTTTGTGATACTAGATCCCAACAACGATAACCTTTATGTTGTATCCCATACCCCAAAAAAAAAAACAAAGTCGAGCTCAAGGCTTTAATTTGTGATGTTCATGAGAAGGTAAAAGAACAAAATAAGCACAACCAAAAATTTTAAGAAGATCAGAGGCAGGAAGAATACCATAGAGACACTCATAGGGAGATTTATTTTGTGTAACGGTAGATGGGACTTGATTTATGACATAGACAGCTGTAAGTGCAGGTTCACCCCAAAAACGCTTAGGACATAAAAAGGAATTAGGAGAGCACAAACTAAGTCCAAAATATGACAATGTTTACGCTTAACCTACTCATTCTGTTGAGAGGTATATGGATAAGATCTTTGTTGTATGGTGCCCTTCTCTTTAAGAAAAGACTAAAATTTAGAATCGAGATATTCATGATCATTATTAGTGCTTAAGACTTTGATAATTTTAGAGAATTAAGTTTTTATCATATTAGCAAACTCAAAATAAATTTGAGGTTATTCTAAGCATTTCTTCATCAAATATAGCCAAGTGAAGCAAGAATAATCATCAATAAATAATACAAAATATTTTGAACCACCCATGGTAAAAGTGGGAGATGGCCCCCATATGTCAGAATGTACTAAACCAAAAGGTGCAAGTGAAATGGAATCCCTTTTATTAAAAGATAAAGCAAGCTGTTTAGCAACTTGACATGAGACATAATGTAAAGACTTTTCTTTAACAGAACCTAAAGACCCATTTTGGATTAAAGGACAAAGTTTACTAATAGAGGCATGACCAAGATGAAGATGCCACAAGTGCAAAGAGGAAGATGTTGAAACTACACACAATTAGGAAACATAACTAGAAGGGATGTGCAAGGAGGTGAGCTCAAACAAACGTCCAACTTTAAGGCTTGTCCCAAGAATCTGTTCCGTCTATAGATCCTACACATGACAACCATGAGTAGAAAATATTAGTTCAAGACCAAGTTCACGCAATTGTCCCACAGAAATAAGATTGAAAGTAAGTTTTGGTATTAAGAGAGTGTTTGGTAAGGTAAAGGTAGAAGTAGAAACTTGATCATATTGGCTAACTTGCATTTGTGAACCATTAGCAGTATGGATTGGAGGTGCAGTGATATTAGGAGTTAATGTAGAAAAAAGTTTAGAGTTTGAAGTCATATGATTACAACAACCGGAGTAAAAAATCCAAGAAACTTTACCTAGGATGGTAGGCAAGGCACTAGATGTAAAGGAAGATGATATCATCTATCTAAGAAAGGTTTCTAGATTACCAATCGAAGGATGGATTGAGGTATCCTCATTGTCATTAGTAGTAGCTACAGCAACCACAGGCTTAGAAGGCTGATTAGGCTTTGATTGGGTCTTCCACTAATCAAATCTCTAAGGTAGTGGAGTAATACAAATAGGAGCAATATGGTCTTTCTGCTTGCATTTATGATATTTTACCAGACTGCATTCATATATAGCATGTCCATATTTGTTACAGTGACGACAATGCTTCTGTCCTCTCTTACTTGAAAGAAACTTGTGAATAGCTGCAACCACAATATTATCTCGTTGAGGCTTAAGTAAGCCTAGACAAGTTTCATCAGATAATAATCGTGAGAGAGCACTATCCCAGGTAAGTAAAGGAGACTGATGCAATAAAGAAGCTCCTTTCCACGTTCTTGTTTCAAATTGTGTAACTCTTCCCACAATTGATATTGACTGGATAAATCAGTAGTAGTACACTTGGCTGCAAGCAAATCCCACACTTCCTTAGCTATTTCATACCATCCAAACTGAAGGTGAATGGAAGGAATTGAGGTGTTACGAAACCAAGTGATGATCCGATGATTTTTGCTATCCCAGTCCTCCAGACAATCAACATACTTCTTATCTGTCTCATCATCAATTTTCTGTGGAAGTGTAATGTCACCAGTAATATATCACCATAATTTTTGACCCTTCAAGAAATTGCACATACTTTGAGCCCAAAGTATATAATTTGAGCCATTAAGAATGGTTGAAATTGGTTGTGAAATATCAGATTTCTCCATAATTAATTATGAAAAAAATCTAACAGAATTTAACAAACCGACCAATGCAGATCTGTGCAATCGATGATGCTTGATGAAAAAAGAGGCAATTTTGGATTTGGGCAGCAACAATGCCGAAGAGTTCAATGCAAGAAATCAAGAGCAAAGTCAGTGACAATTGGATTATTATTTGCGAGAAGACTGGAGCAGCACTCAACATATTGTCAATACAACAAAAAACAGGATCAAGGAAACCCAATTGCAAATATAGTCCAAGAACAAAAGCAAAGACGATGATGACTAGCACCACCTACAAGCAAAACAGCAACTCACAAAAGAGATGAATAGTAATAGTAAAAAAGCCTCAAAACTTTGATACCATGTAAGAAAATAAGGTTGGAGAGAAAAATATGAAGAAAAATGATACTTTTTTCTTGATTCATTTGAATATATAAAATGCATATTTATAGGTCTATATAAGATAATATTTTATAATATAAAATTAATTAATATAAATATATCAACCAATTATAATGTGAATATAATCATAGTAATGTGAACATAATCAAGAAAATATTCTGTAATAGATATGATATTGAATTTTCAAATCCAAAGCATTTGATATAAATTTTGACTTAGAAAGTTTAAATCCAATCACAGAGAGACCGTATTCCATGTGCCGTGATCCAGTGGCCACTGCTACCCCAAAAGGCAACTCGTGGTTTGCACTCTCAAGTCCTGGATTCAATACTCCCCACTAACACTTCTAACATACTAACTTTTAACCATTGTCCTTATCAAAAAAAAAAAAAAATCACAGAGAGACCAACATTGGAAAAGACGTTTTGGTTATGTCTACTGAATTTTCAAATCCCGAGCACTTGATGTAAATTTTGACTTAGCAAGGTTAAATTCAATAACAGAGAGATCAACATTGGAAAATTCAATTCTACTGGGGAGAGGGAGACGTTAGATTGCACATTAGATGTGATAACATGATATTGTAACTAAAAAGTAAATTTAGTAATTATATGGGTTTTAATATATTTAAATTATTTTTTTTTATATTTATTTGATGTGAGACTCTAATTTTTTAAACTCATAAAAAAACAACATACTTCACTCACTTGTGAGTATCTCATAAGAGTTCATTTATTTTATTTTATTATTATTTTTTAAGATACATAATCTATGGGTATACACATATGACTTAATAGAGAAATATTAAATAACTTATCACATGTATTGACATCACATTATAATTGAAAAACTAATCTAGTATATATATGAGTCTTAACATAATTAATCACCCTTTCATTAAACATTTTTTCGTGAGATTCTAATTTTTCATACTCAAACAAAGGAGCAACATACTTCAACAAATTCAAGAAGTACAACCAAATCATGCGCTTAAACAGGAACTCGAAATGGCGACATAAGGTGTCCATTGGAATATGCTTATGTATGCTCTTATGTCCAAGTAGAACTTTTTCACTGCCTATAAATATAACCTTCCAGTTGATGAGAAATCACCAAACCAAACACCAGTTAAATCCAAGTTCCTAGTTATCTGATTCATTTTCATTTATTCAACAACTAAAGCTGTAATGGCCTCAAATCAGCCAAATTTTGTCTTCATAATTTTATGGCCCAAGGCCACCTTATTCCTCTTAGTGACATAGCCAAATTGTTTGCAGAGCACAATGCACTTGTCACCATAATTGCCACACCTTGAAATCTTGCCCGTTCTGGTCCTACAATCAACCGTGCCATTGAATCTGGGCTACCTATCCACGTTTCACAAGTGCGGTTCCCTTCCACAGAGGCCGGTTTGCCAGAGGGATGTGAATCTGCAGACACAATTCCTTCTCCGACTTTTCTGAAGAACTTCTACACTGCAGTAGCAATGATGCAACAACCAGTGGAGAGGCTATTTTCAGAGCTAAAACCGCATCCAAACTGCATAATATATATGATAGGAATTTCACATGGATGGTAGATATAGCCTCCAATTTTCAGATTGCAAGAATATCATTTGATGGGAAGAATTGCTTTATTCTCTTGTACTGTCATGTTTTAAACATTTCCAAGGTCCATGAGAACGTGTCTGAAACAGAACCCTTTGTGGTGCCAGGGTTGCCAAACAGAATTGAATTCACCAAAGGTCAGCTACCCAGAAACTTCAACCCTGGTAACAACTCAAGTATGAACGAAGTTGTTCAAAAGATACTAGCAGCAGAAGGAGGATATGGCGTGCTACTTACCACTTTTGAAGAATTGGAAGCAGCATATGTCAAACATACGGGAAGGTTCAAGACCGCAAAAAATGGTGGCCCTGCATCACTATGCAACAAAGAGAACTCGGATAAAGCTGAAAGAGATAACAAGTCCTCTATTGATGAAAATCAATGCTTGAAGTGGCTTGATTCACAGGCACCAAACTTTGTCATTTGTGCTTGTTTTGGAAGCCTCATTAAGCTTACAGCTCCACAACTGACAGAGCTTGGCTCAGCCTTGGAAGCAGCAAACAGGCCATTCATCTGGGTTTTAAGAGGTGCGAATGGAAAAGAAGGAATGGAGAAATGGTTTTTGGAAGATGGATTTGAGAAGAGGACAAGAGGGAGAGGCCCCTTGATCGGTGGTTGGGCGCCTCAAGTTCTAATCTTATCCCACCCAGCAGTTGGAGGGTTCTTAACACACTGTGGTTGGACTTCTACACCCGATGGCATCTGTGCTGGTTTGCCAATGAAAACATGGCCTCTGTTTGCTGAGTTGTTACCAGGATTGAAGTTGCTGGGTCACTGAACTTTGGTGAATTCAATTCTGTTTGGCAATCCAGGCACCCCAAAGGGTTCTGTTTCAGACACGTTCTCATGGACCCTGGAAATGTTTAAAGTATGAGAGCACAAGAGAGTAAAGCAATTCTTCCCATCAAATGATATCCTTGAAATCTGAAACTTGGAGGCTATATCTACTATCCATGTGAAATTCCGATCATATATTATGCAGTTTGGATGCAGTTTTAGCTCTGAAAACAGCCTCTCCAATGGTTGTTGCATCATTGCTACTGCAGTGTAGAAGTTCTTCAGAAGAGTCGGAGACGGAATTGTATCTGCAGATTCACATTTCTGTGGCAAACCGGCCTCTGTGGAAGGGAACCGAACTTGTGAAATGTGGATAGGGAACCCAGATTCAATGGCACGGTTGATTGAAGGACCAGAACGGGCAAGACTTTAAGGTGTGGCAATTATGGTGACAAGTGCGTTGTGCTCTGCAAACAATTTGGCTATGTCAATAAGAGGAATAAGGTGGCCTTAGGCCATAAAATTATGAAGACAAAATTTGGCAGATTTGAGGCCATTACAGCTGTTAGATTTTTGAGGTAAGAAGAAGGGGCTGCGAGAACTTGGAGGAGAAGTAGAGACTTCCGAGGTTCCCTCTTTTGGTGAACTCAGAACCTATTTTCTTCCATTGATATTCGATTATTTATGGCAGAAAAAATATAACATAACATAGAACATAAAGCCATAAATATAGAAGGGTGTAGACGTTCACCCAATCGGATAGGAAAAATCATGCTTTCTCTTTCTCTTAATTTTCATTCAATTTCTACCTTCCTTTCATAGGGAAAGGCTACATATAAAACTATAATATATTTTTTACCTAATACAATAATTATGAACTACCTAAAGCATTGACTTAAATGATGAAATTTGCTGCCATTTCTTGTAGCCCACTTGAAGCTCCATGCTGTCGTCACTTTACTGTTATTGTGCAGTCATATTGCAACGTCATTTATCATATCTCATTTCATTGAATTTTCAGCTTTCATGCCGTAGCTCCAACGACAGCTTTAGTCGTTGAATAAATGAAAACGAATCAGATAACTTGGAACTTGGATTTATCTGGCGTTTGGTTTGGTGATTTCTCATTAGCTGGAAGTTTATATTTATAGGCGACTTAATTCAATTTTTAATCTATTAATTATCAATTTAATTTTATTTTAGTCTAAAAAGGTTTTTTTAAATGATCTATAAATTTTAAAAATATTTCAAAATAATCTATCAATACAAAATTTTATTAGATTTAACAAAAAAAGTAATCTTTTAAATTTTGAAAAATGACACTATAATCATAATAAAATATGATGATTCAAAAAATATTTTATAAAAATATATTAGTTGAAATTTGTAATAAACTTGAGCAACTAGTTTATTTTACAAATAGATTGTATGTAGTTTATCTTGAAAAATTATTTAAATGTTTCTAAAAAAATATAAAAATAAAATTAAGAGCATTTAAATACAGACTGTATGCAGTTTGCTCTGTAAAATTACTAAAATAGTTTTTTGAAGAAGACATTTAGCAAAATAAGATTAAAAACTATTTTTATGATAAATATAAATTTAAGGACTAAGAAATCAAAAGAAATATGGTTGGAGGACTAAATATTTTCTTATAGAAAAGGAAGATTCTATTAAATATAATAGACATTTCCGTTAAGATAACGAATTAGATGAAATTGAAATAAATGCGAAAGACAATAGACAAAATTGAAAGAATTCAAAAATAATAAATAAAATTAAAAAAATATTAAATTAATAGATGATTTATTAAATTAATCCATTTATAACGGTGAAAGAGTTCTACTTGGACACAAGAGCATAGATATGCATATTCCAATGGACACCTTATGTCGCCATTTCGAGTTCCTGTTTAAGCCCATGCTTTGGTTGAACTTCTTGAATTTGTTGAAGTATGTTGTATGTTGCTCCCTTGTTTGAGTGGGAAAAATTAGAATCTCACATCAAATAAATATATAATGAAAGAGTGGTTAAATATGTTAGGATTCATATACACTAGATTAGTCTTCTAGTTATAATGTGGTGTTATCATATGTTATAAGTTATTTAATAGCTTTTTGTTAGGCCATATGTGTATACTCAAACCATGTATATCAAAAAAATAAAATGAAATGAAAAAAATGAACTCTCACAATATATTTCACAACTCACAAGTGAGTAAAGTATATTGTTTCCTTATGAATTTAAAGAATTAGAGTCTCACATCGAATAAATATAAAAAGAAATTACTTAAATATATTATAATCAATGTAATTGTTATATTTATTTTATTTTATTTTTTTTTTTACATTTGAATGGGTTATATAAGAGGGGATAGCCCTCTTCTTCTCTTTAAATCCCTCTTCACTTAACTCAAAATTTAAATTTGAAATCCCCAACTTGAAATCTCAAATTTTTAAATATTGAGACACCCCATTAAAATATATTTATTTTTAATTATAGTATGGTGTAAACACATTTAATGTACAATCTAATGTCTCCCTCTCCCCAATAGAATTGAAATTTCCAATGTTGGTCTCTCTGTGATCGGATTTAAACTTTCTAAGTCAAAATTTATATCAAATGCTCTGGAATTGAAAATTCAGTAAATGTATCAAACCAAAACGTCAGGAATAAAAGTCCAAGGGATGATGATCAGTATCAATTCTTTTATTTTTCTGAAATTTCCTTGAGGGCACGCTTTGAGCGTTGGATGGGATTGGAAAAGATACAATCAGTTGAAAGTTTTTCTTTCACAGTGGTGTTTGCTAATATTAATAATTTTTTAACATACTTTTGTTTGACTTGTGCAGCAAAATTTAAGAAACTTTTCTGCACATGTGCTGTGTCTGTAAGCTAAATTGTCTTTTCAGAGTATCTTCTTTTCGTGCCGTAATATATATTTTTTAATTTTTTAATTAAATGAATTAGATAAATTCTAGTTACTGGAAAAAAAAAAGAAAAAGCAAAAACCCTTCTTAAGCCCCTCAACTTTTTTGACAGCAAGTGATAAGCCCCTGAACTAAAACTGATGCGAATAAGCCCTCCAACCCCTCGTCTGAAGCAAATAAGCCCCTCCGTTAACGAGCCCCTTGACGTCGTTTGTTTAATGACTTGCGTGGCATTTAATTTACGGGTTGGATGCAACGTGCCATTGGTAGTTTGTGAAGAGAAATTATTCAGCCTAAACAAAGAAAGTTAATACCTAAATTTAATCTCTATACTTCATAAATACATTTTGTAATCTCTAAAATTTTTCCTTTTAACTATTTTAGTTCATTTTGTCAACTAAGCACTAGTGTGGTATTTTTTTTTTTTTTGGTAATAATTTTTTTCTTTAATTTTTAATGCTAACATGGAAACTAAAATTATACATTTAATTTTTTTTAATGAGATGGCTTTTTATTGAAATATAATCAATCCATTTGCTCTAATTAAATTTATTATTCCTTAATTTATGAATTAATTGATTCATTCTTCAATTAAATTACATATTTAATTCTTTAATTAAATTATAGATTTAATTATTATTACAAAAACTTTGCCATAAATCATAAATTTTTTATTTAATCCATTAATTAATTGATTCATTCTCTATTCTTAATTGTAAATTTAATTGTCATGACAAAATCTCCTTCCCAATTTTTTTTTTCCTGTTTTGAACCCAAATTGTTATTCTTTCAATCCTCTACAAAATTAAATCTTCCCTGCAAATTTGTTCTCCTCATTCCTTTACAATTTCAATTCAAATTTGTTCTCAAAGAATCAATATCGCCTCTCCCCTCCACTGATGTCACAATTGGGCTACTAAACCAGAAACCCTAGATCTAGATCTAGTTCCCAAACCAACAATGGCGACACAAGAACAAATGAAACAAAAAAAGGGAAACCTAGATCAAAGTAAGAGAAAATAAAAGAAATTAGATTCAAATTTGTTGTCAATATCTTGAACATATACAGATGCAATTTTGTCTCTCCTCCACAAACTTTCTCCTTGAAATCCAAGTTCAACAACTTGCAGAACCCCAGATCCATTCAAACACCAGGCTAACAATGGCGAAGTCAAGAAAGAATAAATGAAAAAAAGAGAGAAACCCAAATCAAAGTAACAGATCAAATGAAAACCATCGAACAGGAAACATGCAAAACAACAAAAAGTAAATGCCAAAATCTCAACCTTCGAGAAATTGACAAAAATTTGATCTTCTAAAGAACCCATTGCTCGCTCAATCATCGTCGGAAAGAAGATCTGATGAGGAACAAAGTGAAAGCGACAAAAGTCATTCCTCTCTCAATCATCGTGTGATGGTGAGGAACCTAGATCTAGTTCAGGTAAAGAAGAGAAAAAACTAAGATCTAGTTTTGATGGAGGAGAGCAAGAGGAAAAAGACTTTTGGATCGATGGAGAAAAGGTGGAGAGATTTGGTTCAGGCAGAAGGGAAGGAAAATGAAAAGAACAGAGAGGAGAGAAGAGTAGAGGAGGAGCGAGGTTGAAGATGAAGTTATAAGGGCAAATGTGTAATTTTAACTTTTATAATATTTTTTTTTTGCCCACTTCATCCCACTATAAACTATTTGTTGGATGCAACGTGTAAATTAAATGCCACGCAAGCCATTAAACAAACGACGTTGAGGGGCCCGTTAACAGAGGGGCTTATTTGCTTCAGACGGGGGGTTGGAGGGCTTATTTGCATCAGTTTTAGTTCAGGGGCTTATCACTTGCTGTCGAAAAAGATGAGGGGCTTAAGAAGGGTTTTTGCCAAAAAAAAAAGTTATACACATAGTCAACTGGTAGTTTGTTCTATGGTTACTACATCTTCCTAATGTACTAGTATAAACAATTATCGTTGGCGGAATGGAAAATGCAAACCTTCAAATATGGTTGCTGGCTTCATGCCTCTTTCAATTCTGTCACCCCTCATTTATGATGTTAGTGCCGACCATGAGTTAGTTGCATGATATCTCGGATAAACTTTGTAAGGTTAAGGTGAGAAGATCCTCCCTCTTCAACAGCCAGGTGAGAAGATCCTCCCTCTTCAACAGCCTTCTTTGCCTCTTTTTCTTCTCTCCTGTCCTTCATCTCCATCATACATCAGCCTCTCCATTGTGTGCACCATCTACCACTTTTCCCTCACGACTCGCCCAACTTCCAGTCTGCCTTCTAGATACGGTAAAAAGTTAGCCCAATTTGCTAGCTTCATTTAAAACATCCACTTAAAAATACAGAGATAACAATTTGGAGTGAATTAGATATTTTATAATTATAGATAAAAATTTAAAGGTTAAATGTCAAATTTTGATCCCTTAATTTTAGGTTTTGGTATAGTTTTAGTATTTTAATTTTTTATATATTTTTTTAATCCTTAACTATAAAAAATATATTTTTTTGTTTTTTTCTTTAAGTTTGTCCATATATGTAAATTTTTAGTTCTTGAATT